ATATTTATTGGAACTTATCAGAAGGGAATCTATTTCTGAAGTGTAGTTTGAAATCTAGCCCAAGGCAGGAAGGAGCTACCCACAATTTTAAACCAGGGTGTGGTATAATTGGCATGTTCTGTAACTGAAGTCCTGGCAGCTGTGTCGGAAGATGGATGAGAAGGCAATGAGGCTTGTGAGTGAACTGAGAACTGACCCACACTGTTTAGAGGGAAGACCATGATCTGAACAAAAGGAGAGCCTAGAGAGGATGGAAATTGGGTTATTCAAGATAAATTTATGAATTGTTGACAGTGTATCACTTTACTAAATTCATGTGTATGATGGGAATGGAACAGCACCAATGTGTGGAGTGGGGTGTTGATAGTCAGGGAAAGGACGTAGGAAAAGGCCCCCAAAAGAGACTGGTATTTATTTTTTTCCTTTTTGGGCCACACCTAGCGATGCACAGGGGTTACTCCTGACTCTGCATCCTGGAATTACTCCTAGCAGTGCTCGGGGGATGCTGGGAATCAAACCCGGGTTGACCACATGCAAGCCCTACCTGCTGTGCTATCCCTCCAGCCCCGAGTCTGGTATTTCTAACTTGTGAATTTGGGTAAGAAGCGACACAATTAACCAGTATATGAAAAAAGAGGTAAAGAAGCAGGTCTGGGGAGGAAGATAATGAATTTAATTTTTGATCTATTGGCCTTAGTAGTTGAATACAGTTACTCAGGAAAGTATATAGTCAAAGAAAAGAGACACATAGGGAAAAAATAATCACAAAGTGAAACAAGAAAAAGAAAAATACACTAATGGCACCAAGATATGAGAGAGAGAGAGAGATTGGGGAACTTTCCCCACTAAGAAAAACAGGATAATGATTTATAAGACTTTATGAAAGTAAGATATGTTGCTAGTCTTGGGTGGTATGAGTACTGAACACAGATTTGGTGGGTAAGAGATAAGTTTGGCATGGGTTGAATCAATTGGTAGGACTGGAAAGACTACCAGTCTCTAAAATGGAGAAAGTGATGAGAGTAGAGAGAGGTTTCATTTCTGGTGAAGAAAGAAGATCCACAGTTTGAGGCTACTAACTTTGTTCTCATTCCATTATGATTCTTACAAAAAGATACTAAAGAATCATGTGTTTAAAAATTAAAGCTTATTTATTTCCTCTACCATTGAACTGGAGTGATAGCACAGCGGGTAGGGTGTTTGCCTTGCATGCAGCCTACTTGGGTTCGATTCCTCTGTCCCTCTTGGAGATCTGGGCAAGCTCCCAAGAATATCATGCCCACATTGCAGAGCCTGGCAAGCTCCCTGTGGCGTATTTGATATGCCAAAATCAGTAACAACAAGTCTCACAATGGAGACGTTACTGGTGGCTGCTCGAGCAAATCGATGAACAACGGGAGGACAGTGCTACAGTGCTATAGTGCTACCGTTGAATACAGCTTGAATCCATGTTTGACTTAAGTAAGTCTCCCTTAAAGTGGAAAGATATACCTTATTGAAAAAGGTTGAGACAAATAGCTATCTAAATGGTTAGTACATACACCTGAATATTTTCCATTCATTTCTGTCTGGTAATTTGAGGATCTTAATTTATAAGATTCTGTCAAAGTTATTCTTAATCATTATTACTCGAGTTCATTTTGTTTTTGCTTGAAATAGTTTTAGTGTATACTTCAATTTAGGTTGTACCTAACTTGAAAGGAAAATTTAAAAAATGCTCATATGTTGATAATTAAGTTTTGCTCCTTCTGGCATTGACAATGGAAACCAGTTGTCATTATTTGTTGATCATTAAGTACCTAGATTTTTCCCCCTAATAGTTTTTATTTTTATTCTATCCCATTCAAAATGTTATCTTCTCCCCACATTTCCCCATTATCTTCTGAAACATAGATCTTTATACTATATTCCTGTGGCACGTATCTTGCACAGAATAGTTAGAAATTTTAACAGATTGGTTGCTGGATATTTCATTTTTGACTATACTATAGACCCACTGCCCTCCAAAGTAGTGTCAGGGACAGTCTCATGACATACCTCCATAAATGTGGAGCTACTCATATGTTGTCTCTGGAATATATAGTCGCCCACTTTCATACCTTCTGTTTGTTGGTTTGTGAGGGAGGTCATCTATATAAGATTTCATTTGGTGGTAGTGTTTTGAGGGGAAAAAAAGAAAATCTTGGAAATCAGTGTCATCTTGGGAGAGTGGTGTCTGTGCCAGACTCAGTAACGTGCTCAACGTCACCTAGCTACCAGACACAGATGGACTGGTGCAGGACCAGAGAAGCAGAATAGTGGGTAAGGGGCTGGCTTTGCATGTGGGAGATCTAGGTTTGATCTCTGGCACCCACTATGGTCTCCAGAGTCTCACCAAGTGTGATCCCTAAGCACAGAGCCAGGAGTAAGCCCTGAGCACATCTGGGTGTGGCCCCCCCCCCCCACAAGCAAAAACAAGCAGATCTCTTGTCCAAGAACCACAGAATGGTCTGCTAGGCTCTTTACCACTGAGGCTGTCCTTCTCTGTTAACTGTTTCAATGGGGATGTTATCTTCCCTGTTATTTCTTATGTTCAGTTAGGGTATTTATTTCCAAGAGAATAAGTAGCCTTCTGTAGATTATTCGTCTGGACTAATATAAATGTGAATTCCCATCTATGGCAGAAGCTCAGTCTTTCATTCTATATTTGTTATAAAAAATAATATTCACTTACAGTCTCCCACAGAGTACTCACATTTATGGAGTTTGAGACCATTAAAACTCCATCCTGCCTTTCATTGCTTTCACTGAAGTGTTTTTTTTTTTCCTGAAGCCTCAGTTAATGTCTTGAGTGTCTGTCTCTTTGCTTTTACATAGCAACAGATTCTGTTCTCAAATTTAAGTCAGAGTTTTTTGGGTGGGGTGATGACAGTGGTGAAGATGACCACTTATTTTCATCGAGTCATCCCTAATTTAAATGTGTGGTGGTTTTGGTTAAGGAGGAGAAGCCAGTAATTTTTTTCTATTCATAGCAAAGTTTTATTATGTTCTGGAGACTGGTATTTCTCAGGCTGATTATTAATGAATATTCTCACTACCCAGTCCTGGTTTCCTATATTTAAAGTATTTTATGAGTTTTCTGATAAAATCTTTTCCATATTATTAACTAAAATTTTTTCTTTAAAAACTTTATGTTCATTATTGAAGAGTCAGTAATTATTTCTGGAGAGCAGAAATTATGCCCAATCCATCTTTATTTCCCAAACTGCTAAGCATGGTGTCTTTTTTGTTACTATTGTTTTGTTTTTGGGCCACACCCAGTGCTTAGGATTTACTCCTGGCAACCTCAGGGGACCATATGTGGTGCCAGGGATCAAACCTGGGTTGGCTGCATCTGAGGCAAGAGTTCTACCCTTAATCACTCTTGACCGTCACTGTGTCCTTTATGTAATCAATGTTGGATAAATGTCTGTTTTGATTCCTTATACAGTGTCTTCTTTTAAAGCCATAGATACTATTAAGTTCTCTCATGGATTATTATCTTCTTATTTTATTATTATCTTACTTGGAATATTTCACTTAGATTTTAAGCTAACTTTAGAACAGCCCTAGTAGATAGAAGGCTTTGTGAATTGTCCGCAAATTTGTGGGTTTGACTGTTAAATTAAAACAGATAAACAGTAGGTCTTGTTGAGAAAAATAAAGTGACTTTTACAAAGAAAGTTTATTAAAGTTAGCAAGTTGTTGGGGATGGGGGCAAGGCACTTGCCTTGAAGCCAGCCAACCTTAGTTAAATCCCTGACCCTACATATGAACATCACCAGGAGTAATCCCTGAGCACCACCTCGTATGTCCCAATCCCCCTCCCCTCCAAAATAATAAAAATAGCAAATCTATGATTATTAATCAAAGAGCTAAAACACAGTTTTTTAGTGTTTCAGTCTTCAAAAATTTTTTGGTTGTTGTTTTCCTTTGGGGGCCACACCTGGTAATGCTCAGGGTTTACTCCTGGTTCTGTACTTAGGCATCACTTGTGATGGACTTGGGGGACAACAATGGTACCAGGGTTTGAACCCAGGTCGATAGCATGCAAGGCAAGTGCCCAACCTAGTGTACTATTGCTCTGACTTCTAGTCTTCAAAAATTTATATCAAAAATTTATGTCTGCAGCTTAAAACTCGTAAATTATGAAAGATAATGGAAATTTTCAATGACACAGCATATTTTAAAACTAAATATGTCTCAGAAAACAGTTTCAGAAAGTTTGTGAAACTTAGAGTTTTGTAGTGTGGTGATGGAAATTAAGAGAGTTATGTCTGTTGTTCAAGAAGTTACTGTTTGTAGGGTTATGACTTGATATTGCTCCAAGGAGAGCTCAGAATGTGTGTAGGGATACCCTGACATTTTACATGTTTTCCTTGGTTTGATGATGTAGCACTGTGTTGTGACACTTGAGGTAGCCCTGCCTTTTCAACTCAGTCTTCAACAGTGGGCAACGTGAAGCTGCCTTGCCCAAATTTCAGATGCCCCTTAGAAGGCAGTCACAGTCTGGATGAACAATACTACTGGTAGCTACCGTATGTGTTTATGAGTACCCTTGAATTTACTCAGCTAAATGTGTTACATAGTGAAAGACAAAATCCTTAATTTTAGTAAATATGACACTCAGTTTTATTTCTAGGGAATATAACAAATAGCCTGTAAATTAGACCCAGTTATACGGTGCAAAAGCCTAAGCTGTACCAATGGCCAGCTGATTTACAATAGTAATGTGAAGAAAAGAAATTGATATGACGTTTCCCTCATGAGAAAAATAAGCAGAAAAATAAGAAACTTGGTGCTAGATGAATTTTTATTATTATTATTTTTTGCCAAACCCCAGACACAAAGAATTAACTTTCTGGGTTGGCCACAAAATAATCTAGTACGCCTTGCATGCATCCTCCCTTCGTTCATGGATAGACTTTCCTGCATGTGGGTGCCAGAGACACCCGATCCCACCGTTTCATGTTTGTTTTCAGGATCAGTTCAGTGATATGAGAATCAGCATAAACCAGACGCCTGGGAACGCTTTTGACTTTGGCTTTACAGTAAGATGGGATTTTTCCGGCATCTTCGTAGCATCAGTCGAACCAGGTAAATCATAGATTTGACTTTACTGAATTTCCTTCTCCCTTATTAGCCTATGCTGAACGGAAAAAACCCCACAGAAATGCATTTATTTTATATAGAATAAATCAGGTGTCAAAAAACCCCCAACAATAATATGCAGTGATGCATCCTGTTCATGGAGACTAAGAGGGTTACAAAGTACACACTGTGTTCTTTGCCTGATCACTTCTAGGTTAAAAAGAGTTGGTTTTATGATTTTTTTAAGCCCTGGAATTCAACAAAATATTACCACAGGGCCAAAAATTGAGCAGGAAATAATCCTACTTCACATATTTTAGGTACGTAAAATTGCACACTAACCTTGGTCATTTCTTTGAAATTTCAAGACAGCTTTAGTTTGGTAGGGGAAGAAGTTATTTTAAGCTGGTTAGAATTGCCTTTCTCCCACTCTGTTTCAAAGTGTTTGGAAGTTCAGTTAATGGGCAATGCATATCACGTTTCATTTAAAAATTAGGTTTTTCTTTGTTGTTAGGAATGTAATAAGACATTTTATTGATCATATGAGTTTACATTTTCTCCTTTAAGTATTAGTACAGATCACTGTGGAATAAAAAATTTCACTTGGTGCTTTCTCTGTTGTCAATAACTCAAATATTTCATCACTTAAAAAAGACATTATACCTTTCCACCTAGAAATGGGCTTTTTATTTACCATACATGGGCTTTTTATTTACCATATAAGATCTTGTTTTCTTTATATATTCATCAATAGTAGATTATTTGGTTTTTTTAACAGTGTGTTTGCTTTGCTTTTTTTAGGTAGTGCAGCAGAATTTTCTCAGCTACAGGTAGATGATGAGATTATTGCTGTTAACAACACCAAGTTTTCATATAAGGACAAAAAAGAGTGGGAGGAAACCATGGCTAATGCTCAAGAAACTGGAAACCTAGTGATGGATATCAGGCGCTATGGAAAGTCTGGTGAGTGGGCTTACCACTGTGTGTGGCTTTCTAAATTGGGAACTGGTCTTTGGCAGGTGGTTATAACAGCTTGCTTCAATAACTTTCTTTCCATCTTACTCTTTTTTTTTGGCATAAAAGTGTTTTGTGGTTGTCAAGATCAGTCTTGAATGATACTTTCTATAACATTCTGTCTGAAAACTTTTCACTAGCAAATTTATTGAGTTTTACATTAAAAGACTAATTTATGTACTGAACTGACCTGATGCAAATAGCAATTGAATTGGGCTGTTGTAATTGTGCCTGCATTTGGGATTTTGTAATAATGTTGAGTATTGCGATTTATGCTGTGATTTCAGTTTCTCCACAGTGCCATAACTATACCTGGTGTCAGGGAATATGTGGCAGGTCCCCATTCCTGTTGTTTATTCTCAAGGAATATTCAATATACATTCCACTATTGTTTCTCAGTTGCTGAGGTTACAGAGGAAAGGGCATCAAGTCTCTGTACAACCTGTAGCACACTGTAGCACTGTCCTCCCCTTGTTCATGGATTTGCTTGAACGGGCACCAGCAACGTCCCTATTGTGAGACTTGTTACTGTTTTTGGCATATCGTATACACCACGGGGAGCTGGCCAGGCTCTGCCGTGCAGGTGGGATACTCTCAGTAGATTGCCGGGCTCTCCAAGAGGGGCGGAGGAATTGAATCTGGGTCTGCCGCATGCAAGGCAAACGACCTACCTGCTGTGCTATCGCTCCAGCCCAACCTAGGATATAAAAATAAAATATCCAGTTCTGTGTTCCTGAAGGATTCAGTAAAATTGCTAGTCTTCGTCATTAACACAGTCTGTATTTGCAGCAGAATATCTGTTGGCACAAGTTCTAAATTCTCTCTTTTTTTCACACTCTACCTGATTTGTCTGTCTGTCGTGTTATGTGTATTTTGTATATGTGCATTCAGTAATTTTGTTCATTCTACTTCAACATTTATATGTGTCATTTCTTGATCTTCACGTGCCAATCAGACTGGGCCAAAGACCAACCTTCCCTGCCGTTTACAAGGCATAAAACCCTCAATCTCACCAGTATGGCTACAAACATTATAGGTTCACCTGAAACAAAGTGGATTGATGCAACTTCTGGAATCTACAGCTCAGACAAATCTTCAAGTCTATCAATAACGACTGAATTCTCAGAAAGCCTGCGGGGCTCTGTAAGTAGTTTGAGAAGAATCAGTGTAGAGCCACCCAACAATGTGGATTTATTTTGCTTGAACAGTTTTGATATTACTTTAAAAAGTATAAATAATCGAAAAAGAAAGATTATTTGAAGTGATGAGACTTGAATAATTTTGAAAATTTTAAGGCATTACTCATTAAGGGTAATCTACCTATATTACATATAGATATATGTAATGGTAAAATCAAAAGATTTCATAATATGGTATTGCAGGTGTTTCTTATCAATCTTTCATCATTATACCTATCTCAGATGTTTGTGAATGTGAAGTAGTAATTATGTAAAATTATACACTATAACTTTTTCATGCTTTCTTTAGTCTTCACTAAAAGTAAATAAGTATGGTAATTGTGTGCACTTTAAAGTCTCATGAAGCATTTTCAGTCCTTATGTAGGCAAATTTTATGGGTAGACCTGGATATGTGGTTAAGAGATAGTTACATCAATTGATTACAATAATTATAATGTTGAATTTTTCAAGTATCAAAGTAATAATTAAATCTAATTTTCAAATAAAAATGTTTATATTGACTCCCCAGATATAATTGTTATCATTCTAAGATCTTGCTACATTGTGTAAGAGAAGTTTCAATGTTGGAGAATCCTGTGTGATTATGATCCTCAGAAATACTCATAATGATTATTTGATCCATTATATTTATTTTTGCAAATTAGTGATTAAAGCTATCCTTGCTTGCAGCACCCTTCCACAAGTATTAAAAAGTGTGGAAGATTTATGTATTTTATATATAAAAAAAGACTAAAAGGTACACATTAATATCCCAAAAAATTCATATTGTCAGGATATTTTTACTAATGGAAAATGTATTTTATAAGCCCAAGGACCAATTGAAGAGGTGATTGTTAACTGGCATATTAATGCATTTCAGAATATTCAGTCTAAAGAAGTCAATGGAATTTGTGATGAAAGCAATAGTTTTGAAACAAAAGGTAATCATCACCATTTTCTTACATTTACTTTCCAGAGTGTGTTTTTAATAATGAAAAGCCAGAGTACTCAAATTCTATTCTGATAAAAATAATTATCAGCGGGTGAAAGAAAAATAGACTCACTGCAAGTTGAAACTAAAAGGCTAGTGCACAGATCCAGTTGCAACCAGGTGGAAGGGCGATGAGTTCCTGCATTGAATAGTTCAGGAACTGCAAACAAAGCATTGGCAACAAGTCCAGGAGATTTGAGTGCCTGTGTGTAAGCCAAATAAAAAAGACTGGTTTTCCTGAGGTTTTCAGCCTTCTGGCTATGGTATGCTGGCAAAGAAATCTTAAATACTGGGGGGAAAAAAAGATGATGAATGAAGTTTCTCCTTTTTCCCTTTATTGTTGTGCAAGGGACAGCTTGCATTCATAGTGTAAAGCTAAAGGCAGTAACAAGTGCTTAGGAAAAGTACTCATTTGTACTGAAAACACAGGCATCAAGTATATCTAAGGAGATTTTGAATTATAGGTTCTCACTCTCTTCCTCTTCCAATCCCTAAATAATTTAGTGGCCACATGCTGTGTTCGATGTCTTATGCTTGCGAAATTAAAAAAAAAAAAAGAGTAGGAAGGTCTGCTCTACGTAGGCTGAGTGAGAGAACCAGAGCAGGAATTTCTTTTACCCTGAAACCAGAGGACAAAAAGAGGAGAGGACTTAGTTTCCACAGTTGTTGAATGGCTTCGAAGTTGTATTTGCCAATTTGTAGTGTTTCATTTCAAAGTCAAACTAAATTTATAAATATCCTATATTACTTATCACTTTATTTCATTTCTGATAAACCGTGCCTATATTTTAATTGTTTCATATTTGGTTCCTTATCAAAGGAGGCTTTTAAGTAAACATGACATGTTTTCTTCTTGATGCTCTATCTCACATGTCCGGGTCCTGTTTCGCCAGTGACTCAGAGCCAACTGATAAGATAAGCTAACTCCTTAGTGCCTGCAGGACTCTATGCAGGCCCTGTCATTTGAAGGTTTGATTTAGATGAGCTATCAGAAACCAGTAGCATTTGTACTTTTTGAATAAACGGAAGTTTAATGACCAGTTGTTATAGTTTTGTAGCAGTTGACAGAAACACAGGTCTGATTGGACCCCATTTGTTTCGCTTAAAGTTAGTGAATGTAAGATCTTGAAAATGAGGGCAAAATAGTTTGCTTGGATGGATTTTTAAAGGTCTTCCACATTTAGATTTCTTTTGGTTTTGTATATTTTCTTCCTCTCATCCCCACCATTTTCCTTTTCATCCTCCCCCTCCTCCCGACCCCACACACACACATCAGTTTTGAGAGCTCCCAAGTGGTGCTCAAGAGGCCTGGGTGTCTCTCTTGGTGATTCTCAGTTAACTTGGCCAGCAGTTCACTGCAAGGCCCTGACGATATGGGTTTTTAAGAGAGAGTGAGCCCTGTGGTGGTTGGAATCCGGAGGCTACTCTGGTGGTGCTTAGGAACCTCCAGGGCTATAGCCAGAAGTTCAGAGATGCTTCAGGGATCATGTGGTGATGGGGATTGAACCAGGCCAGCCGCATGTCAGGCATGTGCCTTACACCCCTGTACGGTCTCTCTGGTCACATACATGAGGTTTATGAAAACACATTTATGGCCACTTATTCTTGTGCTAAAAGAGATTTTGGATTAACCCCAAAACTCCAAGCAAAAAGTTTTCTAAAACTATGTGCTCTGGCACAGAAGATGATACTTTGGCTTTTCTGAAATGAGGGTATGATCTGCTATGATTTTTAGATTAATTGCGCTATATTTTTTACTAATTTGAATGTATTTTAGAGTACTAAAATTTTTTGTGTTTGTGCATTGAAATGACTCATTATCTTCTATGGCTATCAGTTGTGTGTGGTTTAAATATAACATTGCTATAGAGTAGAAAGGTAAATCTAAGTAGTATTGAATTTTCTAGTGTTGAGAAAACCAAATGAATGGCATGGTATTGATTTTTTGTTTTTGTATTTTTCAAATAGCATCTGAACCTATTTCTTTGAAAAACTTAAAAAGACGATCACAATTTTTTGAACAAGGTAAACCCCCAAGCTTACAATTCATGTACTTTCATGAAATCATTCCCTTTATTCATTCTTTCCTGGTAGTATATAGTCCTGAGCACTGCACCTCTTCAATCTGGCACCCATTATGACTGAGAGATATAACCCATTTCCATTCTTTCCTAGGGTCATCGGGCTTTTCTTACAGTTCATGGGTCTACCTCTGTGGTAATGGGTCTTTGTGTGTCCTTTGTATTCCTCTGAAGTTTGGTTGTTTATTTTTTTAAATCTTTCAAAAATAATTGAGAGGCTATTAAACATATACTTCTTTCCACTGGGTGGCCATAAGAACCAAGGACTTTTCATTGAAGCCTTACTACTTCCTAAAAACTGCATAAAATGAGATTACACCAACATATAACTGGCCAACTTTGAAACAGTGCCTATTTTTGGGTTGTGGAAAATGCTTTAAATGAAGAACAGATTTTTTTGGCTATTGGGATGGTGGCTTGGATGCTCTGTAGGCTTTGAAGTCAATGAAGAGCCAATCAATTTGGAGAGCCATCCAGAAGTAGATGATGTGGGAACCAAGTACATTGGGGTGGTTCTCGGTGTTGGTGTAGTTGGGCAGCGCTGTTCTGTGATGTGCCATGCATGTGAAGTTCCCTCTGCTGTCACCTTGGTCTAATGCTTTTTCTCAGGAATGCACTGTTTTGCCTATCCAGAGCTTAAAAGTGATAACATTTGAGACACCATAGCACAGCTTGAGGGGTGTGTGCGGTTGGTGTCTAAAATGTTACTGTTTCATACTTTTAAGATAATAAAAAACATTTCAGGTTTGTCTTCTAACATGATACTCACTGAAATTGTGTATATTTTGTGCTGATCTCCCAGGCATCTTCCTCTGGCAAATTCAGGTCTCCTTCTGACCATAGATAGAAATAGTTCAGCAGCTCTGCATGGCTCTGGTAAATTCTGTGTCAGAAGCTTTAGTGTTTTTGACATTTTTGGTTAAACTCCTGGTATGTGTGTGTGTGTATGTGTGTGTGTGTGTGTGTGAATATGTATGTGTGTGTGTGTGTGTGTGTACGTGTGTGTGTTTTCCATGATAATTTGATGGAAACACTAGGGTGCTCCTAGCTCCAACTGGATAAAATAAAGCAGTTTTTATATTTTTTAATTTAATTTTCACCCTTTTTTTCTACAATAGGCTACTTTAGGAAGAATATTTTTCTAAATCTCAGCAGTTTTCTTAAAAAATATAGTTGTACAGAGAAATAACTTACTTGACAGCTGAGGTTTCAGGGACATTAAAAATGTACTTGATGTATAGATGTACACTCTGAAGTGAGCCCCTTAAAGAATAAAAGCATGTCTGTAAGTTTACACATGCTACTTGAATATTTGATTTTCAAATAACAGGAAAGGAAAGGGAAATGTTTTGTGGGCAGGTTTGTTACGGTGGCTTATTTAAGAAAAGTAGCTCATTCACAAGAAGACCTGAAAAGTGTGTTTGCAACAGTCACACTGTAATTGAATAATAGTATGTAAAGAAATTGGATTTGATGGATGATGAAACATTTGTATTTGTTTTTTCCTATTTAACCAAAGTAGGAGATTCCACCCAATCTTTAATAAAGAAACTTGAATTCTTCTCAGAAACATTTTCTCACTCTAGTACTAGAGAGTGTTTACCTTTGCCACCAGAAGTTCTTTTTAAATGGTTTTTAAAACTGATTTTGAAATTGGAAGATGAATTACAGAGAGTTAAAGGGAAAAAGATTTATGAACATTTTAAAATTGGTATCACATTGTATGTGCATAGAAATAGCTTGTGTTGTAATTTATGAAAGAAATTATTTCAGAGACCTGAAAAGACTTACATTGTGTTTGTTTTTTTTTTCTTTGACCATGTGCTGCAAAGCAGGAAGTACTGATTCTGTGGTTCCGGATGTGAGTAATAATCATTTATTTTTGGAATAAAGAAAGTGACCTTAGGGGCTTGGGGGGTTGAATTCATGCACAAGTAGCATCACTCCCCATTCTTTTCTTTGATTTTAGAATTTATCAAAGAGGGACCAGAGAGGCAGTTTAGTAGTGCATGCCTTGCCTGCAGCCAACCCAGATTCAGTCCACAGGCCTGCATATGGTCCCTGAGCCCTGCCAGTGGGGATACCTAAATGCAGAATCAGAAAGGCCTGAGCATAGCCAGGTGTGACCCCAAAACCAAAAACCAGCCCCCTCCACCTGAGAGAGAGAGAGAGAGAGAGAGAGTCAGAGAGAATTTCTTGAAGTATCAAGAAGTCATCATTCCATGGTGAAGAGACCAAGTTGAAACATAAAGTCAAATATTCTTTTGGTATGGCTTAGGCAAAGGCACGGGTATGAGTAATGTGTGTGCAAGTGCTTCAGTAGGAAGGAGCAATATTTTCTTTGGGCTAATCACCTCTTCCCTCCTTACCACTTAGCTCCCTGTTCCAACCATCAGTGCCCCGAGTCGCTGGGCCTGGGATCAAGAGGAGGAGCGAAAGCGACAGGAGAGATGGCAGAAGGAGCAGGAGCGGCTGCTGCAGGTAACACTGACCAATCAGGGAGCCAGAGGGCCTATGCCTGCTTTTCCCAAGAGAGTAGAAAACAAACCTCTGTCCCTCCCAGTGCCGTTCGGCCAACTGCCCTGGGTGTTTCCTCGCTCACGCCCACTGGGGGTGACTGCTTTGCTCTGTTCAGTGTGGAGAAGGAAATTTCAAACAATGCACAAAGCTGAATTGATAGGGCACATTTAGTATAAATGAAACATTAATTCATGACTGAAAATGTATAAAACATTTAGCAAGCTAGGAATAACCTCCTCCTCCTCCTCCTCCTCCTCCTCCTCCTCCTCCTCCTCCTCCTCCTCCTCCTCCTCCTCCTCCTCCTCATAGATCCTCCTCCTCCTCCTCCTCCTCCTCCTCCTGCTGATTTAGCCACTGATGAAGATGTCTGAAGTGGACATGAACTAACTCCACATTACTTTTTTTTTAAAAAAAATTTTTAATTGACTATCCATGAGATACAAAGCTGTTCTTGACTGTATTTCAGTCATACAATGATCCAGCACCTGTCCCTCTACAAGTGTACATTTCCCACCAAAAATACCCTGTTTCCCTCCCACCATCCCCCAACACCCCACCTCCCCACCCCTAGCCTACCTCTATGAGAGGTACTTTTCTTCTTTCTCTCTCTGTCCTTTTCCTTTTGTGCACTATGGTTTGCACTACAGGTACTAAGATGTCATCATGTTTGTTCAGGTTCTTTGGAAGGTATGACTGAAGTAGCTTTTTAACTGGGTGGCAGCTTTGGGGTATGGACATGATTGCTAATATTACAGGGAGGTGGGAGATGGTGGCCCAACCTGACTCTGAGAAAGCCTAGAGATTTCAGTCACAAAACCTGCATACCCAAATTTTCAGCAGATTATATCTTAATGAGGTCCATCCCGAGATGGTGGAGTCCAGCCAGGGGCATGATGGCAGTTTCAGATTGTGGAAAGAAGCAGCTGTCAGGGGCTCTGCTTGGGTGGGCACCAGGCTAACTTGCCCCCCTTTGATTTACCCCAGTCTTTTCAGGCTTTCATGGGTCCAAGATTAACTGCGACCTTTGATCTCTTTCGAGATTTATTTATGGGTCCCTGAAGCAAGGCTGATAAATTACCTTGTATAGCTGAGCTGAGGTGATTTATGGGCATGACTCCCACATACCTAATTTTTAGCTATTTAGTTTCTCAGGAAACTTGGTCCTGCATAATTGGGTTCTGGGCAGAAGCACAGCAGCAATTTTGGGGTATCAGGAAACCTGAAGGCACCAACAGGCCACTGATACCCCGCGGGTACAGGTTGACCTGCTGGCAGCACCATACTCCCCAACAGACTTTTTCAAATCTGATTGTGGAAACCACAAACACCATGCAAATTTTTTATTATTGTCTTTTACTTGATACTAAGGATGATCCAGAGTTTTCTGGCAAAAAGACAATTCCCTCTTTAGGATAAAACACACTTTTATACCTTTATAGGCCTATTCAGATTTTGCCTTAAAATTTTTGTAGTTCTAATTTTCTCACTTGCCAAATTATACATTTAAAATGTATTAACATAGAGATAGGAGAAAATAGAATGTATTAGCATGTATGAGGGTAGAGGTAGAACCCTTTATGATAGTATAAGATTGTTTATACTATTAATTTTTAAATATATACCTATAAAAGTGATAGTTTTTGAAACAAAATTAATCAATTCATTGATTTAAGAAAATAAAATGTGCAAAGCAATGACCTCATATTGAACATGTTTGATATAGACTGCATTGTGTATTAAATTATTATTTTGCATTCTGAAAATTTTCAGAGCCACACTGCAGATTTTTCATGTATTTTAGAACATGGGTTACTATAATTTTGTGGGTTTTTCTTTGCAAGTTGTATAAGCTTTTTAAGAGCTGCCCCTCGCCCCAATTGTGTATTCAGTCTGTTTCAGAGTCTTTAAGGTTAGCCAGAGGACTTGAATGAATGGCAACCTTGAGATTGGTTCAGATCCAAGTACCTTCACTTTCCCCGTACCTGTGTTTAAACCTATTGCAAGCCATCTTCTCCTTTGGGGATGAAAGACTGATTGGTTAAAATAATATTAGCACTGTAGCACTGTCCTCCCATTGTTCATCGATTTGCTCAAGCGGGCTCAGTAACATCTCCATTTTGAGACTTGTTGTTACTGTGTCTGGCATATGCATATGACACGGGTAGCTTACCAGACTTTGCCATGCGGGTGAGATACTCTCGGTAGGTTGCTGGGCTCTCCGAGAGGGGCGCAGGAATCGAACCTGGCTTGGCCGGCTGGCTGGCACAAGGCAAATGCCCTACTGCTATGCTATCGCTCCAGCCAATAACATTAATGTCTCTAATGATTGATGTAAAGAGAGGAGAACAAACCTAACATCAGTCATCTCTTGCTCCCCTCTTATTTTTCCCTGTGGAGATCTCCCAAGTAGTGTTTGGGGGATCTATGGTACCACTTCTGGTGATCCTTGGTTAGTGCTGTGGTGTTGGGGACCACCAGGGTGACCCTGGCAGTGCTTGGGTGGACCATGTGGTACCAGGACTCGTACCAAGATCCCATACATGCAAAATGTGTGCCTCTTACCTCTTTGCATGTGCCTCTCACTCAGTAGCCCCTGGCATTACTAGTGTCTTAATAATTTCATGTGCTGTCTTTCTAAAGAAGTTCAGTTATATTGATTCGCCATGTTTTTCCAGTATTGCATACATATTGAGAGTATAGCCTCGTATCTGATATGTGTATATGTACCATCTTCCTACCTCCGAATTACTAGTGTTAAAGTGAGCCCTAATATAAAAAAAACACAGTATGAGACTATTAACCATAGATAATGGAAATGAGGGCCTAGAGGACTGGATCATGGTTGTCACAAGTCGGGGACAGTAGGAGAAGGCAATTAGGACAGAAAGGACCACTATGACAATGGCAGTACTAAAGGTAGGCAAAGAGATAACCTTACAGTACCTGTACCACAAACCAAAATGTCCAAAAGGATGGAGAGAGAAGGAGGGAGGGAAAGAGGGAGGGAGGGAGGGAGGGAGGGAGGGAGGGGGAAGGAAGAGAGGAGAGGGAAGAGGAGGGGAAGGGAGGGGAGAAGAGAGAAGAGATGTCTGCCACAGACTCACCGGGGTGGGGTGGGGATAAAAGGAGGGAAACTAGGGACATTGGTTGTAGGAAATGTACACTGGTGCCTGGACTGGTGTTGGAACATTGCATGACTGAAACCCAATCATGGACAACTTTGTAACCGTTTATCTAATGACAATTTAATAAATTAAAAATAAATAAAGTGATACCTAAACTCATTCAAGCCACTGCACTATTGGTAGCCATATATATATATATATTAATTTATTGAATCACTGTGGGAAAGGTTACAAAGTTTTCAGGTTTAGGTCTCAGTCATGCAAATATCAAACACATTTCCCTTTACCAATACTTATTTTTTACCATGAAGAACCCCAATAAAACCCCAACTCCCACCCCTCCCAGTCCCTGTGAGGCAGATGAATTCTAGTTAACACTATCTGCTTTGATTAGATTCATTGTTTCAATAAAAGATTCACCACTATTATTTAGAGTTTACCCCCCCCCCCCCAAATCAGACATGCTGAAAAAGCATTGTGAAGTGATTTGCTTTCTACAGCTGGGTTCAAGAATTAAATGTTGGTTTTGGATTTCTGCTATTTTACTTATTGACCCTGGAAGTATTTCTACTGAAAGTCAGATAGTTAAGAAATTGGTTTCTGGTATCATGCTAAGCGAAATGAGTCAGAAAGAGAGGGATAGACATAGAAAGATTGCATTCATCTGGGGGATATAAAGTAACAAAGTATGAGATTAATACCCAAGAATAGCTGAGATCAGCACCAGGAGGATTACTCCATAACTTAGAGGCCAGCCGGGTATCCTAGAGGAAAGGGCAGTTCAGATAGAGAAGGGAGCACCAAATAAAGGATATTTGGAGGATCCTCCCAGGAGGGGAGATGCATGTCGAAAGTAGACTATGGACTGAACATGTTTGCCACTCAATGCCTCTTTTGCAGACCACAACACCCAAAAGGAGAGAGAGAACACAGGGGATTTCCCTGCCACAGAGACAGGGGGGATGGGGGGATGGGGGTGGGAGGGATATTATCCATGGTGGTGGAAAACGGGCACTGGTGGAGGGATGGGTATCTGATCATTGTATAATTGAAACCAAAGCACAAAAAATTGTAAATCTACAACTTTAAAAAAAATAAAATAAAATAAAGGGAAAAAAAAAAAAAAAAGAAATTGGTTTCTGTGCTCTGGAGTTGTGGCCGTGCTGGAGAGCCGCTCATGGGGGGCAACTGGTGGCCTCGGTAGGGCTTGAAGGGCGGACTGAAACGCTCCCCTTCCCATGAGGTTTTAGTCGCCCCCACACCCCCGGCTCATACCTGCTGTCCACAAGGCTCCCATGCGGCCGCCATCCTTCTTTCCAGAGAAGAGAGGGCGAATGGGGCAACACCCTTTCCCCTCCAGCAGACATGATGGCCTGGATTAACGCATAGTCCGTTCACTTTTCTGCTCCAAGCTGCTGGGTTCTGCATTAAGTCCTTGTGCTTCTGGGGCTGTGGCTGTGCTGGAGAGCCGCTCGTGGGGGGCAACTGGTGACCTCAGTAGGGCGTGAAGGACGGACCGGAACGCCCCCCTTCCCATGAGGTTTTAGTCGCCCCCACACCCCCGGCTCATACCTGCTGTCCACAAGGCTCCCATGCGGCTGACATCCTTCTTTCCAGAGAAGAGAGGACGAATGGGGCAACACCCTTTCCCCTCCGGGCAGACATGATGGCCTGGATTAATGCATAGTCCGTTCACTTTTCTGCTCCAAGCTGCTGCGTTCTGCATTAAGTCCTTGTGTTTCTGGGGCTGTGGCTGTGCTCCAAACTTAACTCTGATTTTCAGGGAGAAACGTTGGGTGGTTTACTTCCCATTGATCACTTTGTATATAGAGAGATGTCACGTGGCCACGTAAGCGGCCGTGCAGTTTTGAGGAAAAGTCCTAGTTCCCGCATACTCGAGTTGTTCTTGTAGGGGCTTCTGGTCACCGGGGTTCCATCTGGGGGAGGTGGGATGCAGTACCTACCCCACCTGGGACTTCCTGATGATCTCGGCTCTTTTTGGAACCTGTTTTTCTTTTATTTTTCCTCCGGGAGCTGTGGATCCCGCCCTCCATGTGGCCCTTCTCTTTGGCGGTATGCTGTAAAGATGGCACTGGGGGGCGGGCTGTGGGCGTGACTTCCGGAATCAGAGGTTACCTGGGAGCTGTAGCCCCGGCATTTTTGAGGAAAAGTCCTAGTTCCCGCATACTCGAGCTGTGCTTGTAGAGGCTTCTGGTCACCGGGGTCCCATCTGGGGGAGGCAGGATGCAGTACCTAGATCATCTGGGACTTTCCGATGATCTCGTTTCTTTTTGGAACCTTTTTTTTTTTCCTCCGGGAGCTGTGGATCCCGCCCTCCATGTGGCCCTTCTCTTCGGCTGTATCGGTAGCCATATTTTTCAGAGATTGAGTTTATTTATAAATATTTATTTATTTTGTGGGGGCACTTCCAGGTTTTCTCAGGGGACAATAAGGGGTGCTGGGATCATACCAGAATCAACCTCTCGCAAGGCAACATCTAACCCCACTGTACTACCCCTCCAACCCTTTGTTTTGCTGTTGTGTTTTGTTAGTTCATCTGCTCTGATCACTTATATTTCACACAAGAGAAAAACCACTTATATTTCACACAAGAGAAAAACCATCTGGTAATTGTTGTTTACTTGTTGATTTGCTTTTTCTCTATTCTGTCTTTTCTTGAAGGAGAAATATCAGCGTGAGCAGGAGAAGCTGAGGGAAGAGTGGCAAAAGGCTAAACAAGAGGCTGAGCAAGAGAATTCCAAGTATTTGAATGAGGTAGGGCTGGCCCTTGCCTTTTTATTCTTTTTCCCATCTTGCTTGTGAAATTAGCTGAAAAGTGGAAGATTTTACTTGCATCTTGGCACATATTTTCAGAAAAATATCATGTGCTCTAAATTATCAGATTTTGTTTTTTGGTTCCAACCTTTCTCTTTTTTGGTTCCAACCTTTCTCTACCATATCCTTAAATTGTCATCAGTCGGACCCAAGTACATCTTCCTCCTCTAGGGGGCATCTCTGTCACCCATGTTTGAGGCTGTTGGTGATACAATTTGAACTTTATTTCAAGGGGAATTCTGGACCAACTACAAAAAGCATAGTATAAAACAGAATTTCTAGATGCCTTTATTTTTAACTCCAAAGCCACCAGTGGTATCAGCATCCCCCCTCTCCCCAGTATCTCATGCCTGCTCTTCCTCACCCCCTTAGCAAAATTTTTTATTATATTTTAAAAAAGATACTTCACATTTTTTTTAAGAAGTGCAAACTTCAACATCAAATAGGTGAAAGTAGGTTAAGTAGAAAGTGAAGAAACGGAAATCCTTGTGTTTTGCATGGCAGTAAGATGTGTTGTCAAAAGGGTTTGGTAGTTTCTCATAGATTCTCCCATGACCCAGCAATTTCAGCTCTAGAGCCTGAAGAAAACTGAAAGCACCTTATACTTTTTTAAAGCCTAAACAAAATATTTTAATTTTTAAAAAATTTTTATTAGTGAAACACCATGAGGTACAGTTGTAGACTTACAAATTTTTGTGCTTGGGTTTTGATTATACAATGATCAAATACCCATCCCTCCACCAGTGCCCATTTTCCATCACCATGGATCCCAGTATCCCTCCCACCCCCATCCCCCCCATCCCACCCTGCCTCTGTGGCAGGGCATTCACTTTTGTTCTCTCTCTCCTTTTGGGTGTTGTTGTCTGCAAAAGAGGCATTGAGTGGCAATCATGTTTGGTCTATAGTCTACTTTCAACATGCATCTCCCATCCTGGGAGGATCCTCCAAAAAAGCACCTTATACTTTATACTGAAAACATTTCATACAACATTTTCCATCACTGTGAAAATTCAGTTGAGGAATGAATAAATGTGGATATCCTTACAACAGATTGATAGATGTTGCAATATGGGTAAAACCTCAGTAATGTAATGAACTTAAAAAACTATTATATCCAAGACTCTTTACCAGTGCCCTTATGTCATCTCTGTTGTGTTTCTTTTCTCCCTGGTCACACAGGAACTGATGGTTCTAAACTCAAGCAGCATGTCTTTGACGGTGCGGGAGCCCGCCCTGGCCACCTGGGAAGCCAGTTGGGGCGAAGGGTCCAAATCTTCAGACAGGGAAGGAACCCGAGCAGGAGAAGAGGAGAGCAGCCCCCAGCCAGAGGAGAGCGTGAGCGAGACCCTCCAAGAGAAGCTTCAGGAACAGCTCAATCTGGAGAAGGAGAGGAAACGGAAGGAGGAAGAGCAGCGTCTCGAGGAGCAGGAGCTGAGGCAGCGTCAGTACGAGGAGGAGCTGGAGCAGCGTCAGTACCAAGAGGAGCTGGAGCAGAAGCAGCGTCAGTACCAGGAGGAGCTGGAGCAGCGTCAGTACCAGGAGGAGCTGAAGCAGCGTCAGTACCAGGAGGAGCTGAAGCAGCGTCAGTACCGAGAGGAGCTGGAGCAGAAGCAGCGTCAGTACCGAGAGGAGCTGGAGCAGAAGCAGCGTCAGGCTGAGGCTCAGAAGCAGCGTGCTGAGGAACAGCAGCGCCAAGCAGAGAGAGAAAGGGAAACATCAGTGAAAATATACCAATACCGAAGGTCCGTCCTCAGGCCAAGAACATAGGGCATATTTTTTCACAGGTCTTAGCTGTATCCTTTCCTCACTTCCAAGTCACCCAATTCATCTTCCTTTTTCCTACCACCCATTGTCCACCCAGGGGTGGACGCTTTGCGTTTCTCAGTCTCGTGATGTCTCCTTTCCACTTTCGAAGTCAACAAGTAGCTTTCTGCCTATCAGGATACCATCAAAGTTCTCACTGTGGCCTGCAAGGCTTGAGTGAGCTGGTTCTTATATTTTTTCTTAGGAGGGCATGGTAATGATGGTATTGATGCTCAGGGGTTACACTTGGCTCTTTGCTTAAAGGTCACTCCTGGTAGTTTTGGGTGGCTATATGCAGTGCCATGCATCTGCCCCTCACCCCCATGAACTAGATCTTTTTTTTTATTTTTAAAATTTTTCTGGTTAATTTTATTTGGGTTTATTTATTTATTTCTTGCTTTTGGGTCACACCCGGCAATTCACAGGGGTTACTCCTGGCTCTGCACTCAGGGATTACTCCTGGTGGTGCTCAAGGGAGCATATGAGATGCTGAAAATTGAACCTGGGTCGGCTGTGTGCAAGGCAAACACCCTACCTGCTGTGCTATCACTCCAGCCCTGTGAGCCAGATCTTAACTCCCAACCTTCTCTCTCATTCCTTTCCAGTTGCACTGACCTCTTTTTCTGGTCTGTGTACCAGCAGAAGTATTCCTTCATGTATTTGCCATACTAATTCATTTTCCTTATGCCTCTGCTCAAATGTCACCACCTCGAGACCTTTTAGAAACATCTTCTACATACAGCTCATGGGCCTTTAAATGTAGGGCAGATGGCTTTCTTGCATGGTAGAACACGTGCTGAACATGTGCAAGGACCTGGGTTTGATACCTGGCAGTGTCTCGCTCCCTCCCCCCCAACATTTTGAGGTATGTCCCTGGTGGCCCTAGATCAAAATCAGTCATGAACCCTTCTGTAAAAGAAAGTACATTTGCCTCTCTCCATCCTTTCTGTCCTAGTCCCTTTCCTGTTTTATATGACATTCATTTATTGGCCTATCTGCCCTGCAAACAAACATGTGAGTGTTGCATTTAATACTTAGGTTGGTTTTCTTTATTTCTGAAGCCCAACCCTGAAACAGTTCCAGAATATAACAGGCACGCTACTGATTTATGGACGAGATGAGTTACAGATGTCTGCTGGTAATAGTAATAGTCTGTTTTCTGCAGCAGTGATTGGTTGAAATTCTTTGTCTAGTTTCTAACCCCAAGACCATCTCATTAAGGGGCAATGATAGAATTATTATTTTGATTTCCATTTCTTTAGCTCAGGGATAGAATTAACAACTGATATTTTGACCATAACCTCTTGTTCTGTTTGCTTTCTCTTTTTTGCAGGCCTGCTGATTCCTATGATATACCAAAGAGAGAGGAAGAATCTTCAGGTTTGCATCCTAATGACAGGTAGGTAGAACATTTATTGCAAATTTCTTGAAGTAACAGGCTTGGATGAATATTCTAGGGCTTCAGAGATGTTTTGGTAACTGTTTCAACCCTTGTTCTTGTGTAATACAAGAAATTCTCTCTTTTTTTTTTTGGTGGTAGTATGCGGAGGACTAGTGTGGGTCACACTCAGTGATGCTCAGGGGTTACTCCTGGCTCTGCACTCAGGAATTGCACCTGGTAGTGTTCAGGGGACCGTATGGGATTCCAGACTCAGGTGCATGCTAGACAAGTACCCTATCCACTGTACTATCTCTGGTTGATCTTTGTTTTTGCTGGGTATTCAACTGTCCCTAAATGCAATGACTTCATTCATTCACTAATTCATTCATTCATTCATTCATTCACATTTTGTATGAATTGACAGCATGGTCCTTGAGCTTGCTCAGGGATCTGCCATCCTTTACTCTGCTTTGGGTAGTTTGCTGGCTTTCAGCTGTGGCAGTGATCACAACTGGATCATGCTTTTCAACATCAAGCTAAGGAAGTGTTATATACATGATGAGCAGGAGAAAGAGAAAGGGAGAAAGCTTGTGAAGCATCTCAAGGTGTAAGTTCTGAACTAGTGTACTCTGGATTCTACAGTGTTCTGTTGTCTACAGTTCATGGTAAAAAGAAAAATTCCAGCTCTTTATAAAAGGAGCCATGATATAAGGTGACTGGACGCAGGAGAAGAGTTCTTTTCAATTTTTCGCTTATCTATCTTTTTCTAAGGGTTTTCTGAGTCATGATACAAACTGTCACAAAAAGTAGCTACATATGGACATCTGAAATGATGAATGAAATTATGCCATTTTTCTTAGCTTGATTTGTCCTTGTGGTCAGCTTTAGGGACTGAAGACAGGATTTCAGATATCTGAAAACTTTTACATGTTTTAAGAATTTTTTAAAACTTTTAATTTGGGGGCTGGAGAGAGAGTACAGGGGTTAATCTGGCACTGTCAGTATTGATACCTGAGCAGAGAGCCAGGAGCAAGGCCTGAATACTGTTGGGTGTAGCCCACAAAGCAAAAACATTTAATTTAATATTTTAAGTACGATTTTAATAAGGTTGCATATTGATTTTATTTACATTGATTCACTTTTTAATACTCTAAAAATGTTTTGCTGTATAAATAAGCAACTTTGTTTTAGAGATGTGGGAAGATTCTTATCTCTGGGCAATCAATTTGACCTAATAAAGCTCAAAGTAGCCTTGGAAAGAAAAGAGATACAATAATGGGCCAACAACGAGAAAAATTTATAGCTGTGGATAATCTTATTTATGATAAATGTTTCTGGATAATTACAGTATTAAATTGTGAGTATCTCATTTTAAAGCTATATACATGTATATATATATATATATATATATATATATATATATATATATATATAGCTTTAATATATTTGTTGGGGCTGGAGCAGTAGCACAGCAGGTAGGGCATTTGCCTTTCATGAGGCTGACCCCGCCAACCCAAGTTTGATTCCTCCACCCCTCTCGGAGAGCCCAGCAAGCTGCCATGACATATACCATGACATGGCAAAGCCTGGCAAGCTACCCGTGACATATTCGATATGCCAAACACAGTAACAACAAGTCTTACAATGTTACTGGGCCCGCTCAAGCAAATCGATGAACAACGGGAGGACAGTGCTACAGTGCAGTGCAGTATATATATATGTGTGTGTGTGTGTGTATGTATACATACATAAGGCACTGTAGCACTGTCCTCCCGTTGTTTATCGATTTGCTCAAACAGGCACCAGTAACGTTTCCATTGTGAGAATTGTTGCTGTTTTTTGGCATATCAAATATGCCATGGGGAGCTTGCCAGGCTCTGCCGTGCAGGCGGGATATTCTCAGTAGCTTGCCGAGCTCTCCGAGAGAGATGGAGGAATAGAACCTGGGTTGCCATGTGCAAGGCAAATGCCCTACCCACTGTGCTATTGCTCCAGTCTATATATATATACTCATATATTATATATTTAATTGTAAGTATCTCACTTTGTAGCTATGTATACATATGTGTGTATATATGTATGTTTAAATAATATGTATAAATATGTATATGCACACATATGTTTAAACCTTACTTGGCTTATCACATGGGATAAAAGATTTAGATTGAAGAGAGAGAAAGCTTAAGTCATCCTTAAAGAAATGAACTACTACCTTCAGTCAGTATCGAAACAGCATGTAAAGGGGTCAGAGCGAAAGTACAGTGGGTTCAGTGCTTGCCTTGAACATGGCTGACTTTGGTTTGATCCCCAGCACCACATATGATCCTTCCAAGCCCCACCAGGAGTGATCATTGAGCCAGGAATAAGCCTAAACACCACTGGGTGTAGCCCAAATCTCTCCTCCCACCCTCCCTCAAAAAACAATAAAAAGGGAAAAAAGAAACAGTATGTATAGCTGTAATAGAGTCCTAAAGAATGTGGGTTTGATGTCTTCTCATAATTGGCTCTGTGTTAATACAAATGTCTATGAATGTTGCCTAAGGATTGTGATGCATTATTATTATTATATTACTGCATTATAAAGCTATACAAAATGCAATACATATATCACACATGTAATTGCTTTGTATGTCATTGTATAAATTACTGTTTTCCCTGTTATATGAAGACATTATATAGAATGAGAATGAAATCAATATTGTGGGTACATGACACTAAATGGTACCAGTACAAAGCAGAATTTTTAGAAGTTGCCTGCACTCTGAATATTATCTCGAACAGTCAGGATCATATTTGGTACAGTGAATTGTACCCTAAATGCTGCCCAACCTTGACACTGGTCCTTTGAAAGTAGCAGTTGACATCAGGTGATCTGATGGCAGATGCTCTGTCCTATCTCAAAAGTGAAGATAGGAAGAGATTCAAAGTGTTTGACTGTCAATAAGCATAGTCTTAATGATCATACAAGCTAGTGGGGACTTTCAATAGTTTGTATCTAGTTCTATATTTTAATTTTTCCTTTTAAAAGACACATAATGTCTATGCAACAGAAACATTTGGTATGGAAATATTTTTGTCTCTCAATAGACATAGGAAATAAATCAGCTGCTTTAACAAACAGTTTATTGGATATTCTTATTTCGTAAATATAAAAGGAATGTTCTTAATATGACATATGTAATGTATTGTCTTTTTTGTTTTAGGAATAAATCTAGATCCACTACAGAGTTGGATGCTTGTCCCACAAATAAAAATGGTAAATATGATTTTAAAATACTTTTCACCAGAGCTGTTTATTTATGCTATCATATGATAAGTATGTTTGTTTTGGGGGTCATACCCTGTGATACTAGAGAGTTACTTCCAGTGATATTTAGGGGAACTATGTGGTGTAGGGGACCAAACTCAGTTCTCCTGCATACAAAACACACACTCAGCCCTGTAACCACTCTCTTTGGCTCTTCTCCTGCATGCAAAGCACACATTCTGTCTTTTAACCTATCTCTTTGACTCTTTGGCCAGCGGTCTTTTTTTTTTTTTTAGTTTTTTTTTTTTTTTGCAGTGGGGTTGGGGAGGAGCTCATGCTGGTGATGCTCAGAGGTTACTCCTGGCTCTGCACTCAGTAATTATTCCTTGTGGTGCTCAGGGGACCATTTGGGATGCCAGGGATCGAACCAGGGTTGTCTGTGTACAAGGAAAATGTCCAACCCACTGTACTATCACTCCAGCCCAATAGTCAGTACTTTTAAACCCAAGATATTTCTCTTTCTATCTCCCAAATTTTATTTTGTTAAAGCATGAAACTCATGGTTGGGTTTTTGACGTATAATGTTTCAGCATTGATCTCATAAAGGCCCTCCCGTTGATCGTTGATTTGCTCGAGCGGGCCCAGTAACGTCTCCATTGGAGACTTTGTTGTTACTGTGTCTGGCATATCGAATACTCTCGGTAGCTTGCCGGGCTCTCCGAGAGGGGCGGAGGAATCGAACTCGGGTCGGCCATGTTGGCCGCTTGTAAGGCGAACGCCCTACCCGCTGTGCTATCAACCAGTGTCTATTTCCCTCCGTCAATATTCCCAGGTTCCCCCTCCTGCTACCTCCACTCTTCCAAGTTCCAGCCTACTATCTTGACCCACCGTAAGCACCCTAAAGTTTGGTTATTAAAATTTTGGTCTCATAATTTCACTATTGTTGACACTCAAGTTTGGATATTTAGCTCTATTATTCCTTAACACCACTGATGGACCTGAGTTGCCTTGACCACTGCCCCCATTGCTTCTTATCTGTCTCTTCTCCACTTCCTCTTCACTCATTACCTCTCCTCCCTAGACTCTGCATCATGGTTGATCTAGGTATACCCCTTTTAAATGATGGCGTTTCCTCATCCCGTTATGCTAAATACCACATATAAATGATATCATCCTGTTTAAACCCAAGATATTTCATGTTCATTAAAATTATATACTTAAAATACTAATTACTTTTAACATTTGTTAAAGAATACAAATATATTTGGCTTATTTTGACCATATCTTTTGATGGAGGGGGTCTTGGCAGATTACATGGTTTTAAAAATTTCATTAAATAGCGAGTGAAATATGTGGAAAGTTTGCAAAGTTATACTGAGATTTTCCATTGTAGATTTTATCACACAGGCACTGAAATGGGGCCAAAAAAGCGTTATAGAGATTATCAGGGAATCTAATTATAGATGGACTTCAGTTTGTACATTGGAATAGCAAGATGTCAAATCTGAAATGATCATTATTTTTGTTCCTTGGCAAAAACGCAGTGACATTGGATGCCATCAGTGTATTTCTGATGAACATAAAGTAGTTGAACTTAACTCAGGAAAAGTAACCCCACGAAGCACTAAACATCATTGTAGGCAGGGCCTGCATATAAGGTTTGGCACAGGCATTTGCTGGTCAATTCCATTAGTAAATGAAGGGTCAGAGAGGCGGGAGATAAACTTGGTGGCCCACCCGTCTCAACCTCATCCTGTTGCTGCAATGTGGGAACATACAAGAATGGTGCTTACTTTTCTCTCTTATAAAAAAATGAAGAAAGCCTGGGATTTCCTGTTCTATTTTAAATGCTGACAAGGGATTGAAAAATACAAAATGCTTTGGGAGCCATAAAAAATAAATATATAAGTAGAGAAAAAATAAGTAAAGCTCTCAAGAGCACTTCTATGGACCTGTGTGGTCTAGTGATTAAAGCTTGTAGAATTTACAGTTTCTTTCAGGATTCTTGGATCTCTGATGACCCCTTTTCTTATACATTAATTAGTCCTCATTTAACTTTCCAGCCTATTTTCCTATTCCCCCCCCCCCCCCCGCCCATAAGTACTCTTAACTGCATCCAAATTGATTGGTATGTTCCAAATAAATCAGATTTTTTTTTAAAATCAAAGTGACTTTTCACTTGTCTTATCTTTCTGCTTGGATTTCCAGTTTGTTTCTCTTTGAATTTGCCCCTACCCTCCATTAAAATTAAAGTACTTTAATCCATGATTTAAAAAAAAAATATTAACCTGCAGCCAAAACATTTTCTCCTGGTCTTAAACCATGATCTATTAACTGTGGCAAGTGTGAATCTCTGGAATATTCTTACTAATATCTGTTATTTGTGATGCTCTGGGAGTTTTTTATATTTCTCCCTTACAATCTCCTGAGTAGAAGGCAGGTAAAATTATTAAGTGTTTTATCCAAACAGTTGCTTTTATTAACACTAATGTACATTAAAAATAAAAATGTTTTGTTAAAATATGACAAATTAATGAACAGTGTGTCTTCACCATTATTAACACAGGTGTGTATTAAAAGCCTTTGATGGCCTGGCTTATTGCTTATTGGAAGATGCACTGATGGCAAGAAACATTTTGAATTTTGAAAGAATAACAAGAGGAGTGACTCTAGAGACAGAATATAAAACCTTATATCAGTTTTCCTAATTCAAATTAAGGTGGAGGGTACACATCAAAATTATGTGTATGTTTCCCAAATCAAACATAATCATAAAATCAAATAAAGCAAGGCTTTCAAGAAAAAATACAACTTATTAATACATTTAGCATCCAAATTATAGTTCTGTTTCTTTCTTTGACCAGAAGCAAATGCTCTGAACTTTTTTTTGTTTGGTTATCATCTGTATTATTTGGATCATTTTCAGTTTCATGTAAGCCATTTCAGTGATTAAATGTGTTTTTATTCTTATGATTTGATCACGACTTATCCCAGGACTTTCATACCACAGTTTGTAGATACATGTTTGTGTCTGTGTTTATTTCAAGGAGGCTGTGAGGTTTCTGAAAGAATGTAACTCCCAGCTCCCTTCAGAGTTGTGTGATGAGCATGTGTTTGATTGATTTGATTTAGGATAGAAGGGAAAAGTGACAGTTTTCTTCTTTCTCTCTCTACTTTTGGGCATTATGGTTTGCAATACTGATACCAAGAGGCCATCATGCTTGGTCCTTTATCTACTTTCAGCATACATCTCCCATTCCGAGCAATCCTTCCAGCCATTATTGACTTAGTGATCCCTTCTCTATCCCAGCTGCCTTCTCTCCCTGCTTATAAGTCACGTTTCCAACTATGGAGCAATCTTCATAGAGGCAGGAAGTGGAGTTGGATGGTGGGTGGGGGTGGGGGATACTGGGGACATTGGTGGTGGAAAATGTTACACTGGTGAAGGGATGGGTGTTTGATCATTGTGTGACTCAAACTGAACTCAAACTGAAAGTGGAAGCTTTATAAATGTAGCTCATGGGATTCAATTAAAAAAGGAAAAGTAGAAGAGAAACTGTTCATTGGACCAGCATTTTACAGCTGAATATTGCTAAGGCCAGTGCTAGTGGTGTCCTTTTTTTTCAGGCAGTCACCTTTGTTATCCTGAGTACATCCTTTGGTTGAAATTGAAATCGAAATTCCAGGAATAGGAAACCATTGCTTCATGTCTGTGCTCAGCAGTGTCACTGGGCACTGGAGTGGATAACATTAACCAATGGGCCAGTGTCACTTTTTTTCCCTAAACTGTGGAGAGAGACTCACCGTCCTATGTCTTCATCCTGAGGCTTTTGTTGTGTTTGTGTGTGTTTTTTAGGAAGCAATAGATATTTAGACCGAGTCGGGAACACCAACTCCTTGCAGAGAACCTACAAGAAGGAACAATTCCTATCAGGAGCAGAGCTGGAAAGACAACAAATCCTTCAAGAAATGAGAAAGAGAACCTCCCTCCACAATGACAACAGCTGGATCCGCCAGCGCAGTTCCAGTGTAAATAAAGAGCCCATTTGTCTGCCTGGGATTATGAGAAGGTGCGAGACAACTGGAAATTGTTTCCTCTTCTGTGTTGAGAACCAAATATTTAATTTCCAGACATATTGGTACTTTGGGCAGAGGTGATGGCACAATTTTGTTTACCTCCCTGAGATGTTTGGTGGGAGAAGAGGGAGTAGAGCACTTGTCTTTGGCACTTGTCATCAACAGGGCATCGAGTGCTAATTAGATTGCAAACCTGCTCCATTTGCTTTGTCTAAGTTTCTCTCTTAATCAAGAAAAAATTTTTTGAGGCAGGAGTAGTATTTTTATTTTTGTTATTATATTTTTAAAATGCTTTCCTGTATAGAGAAACTGTGGCTCAGACAAATAAAAATCTTGGACCAAACCACATAACTAATAGGTTTCATAGTTGGACTTGGAACTCTATGGTAGTATCATTCAGATAGATACTTAGTTTATTCTGCTCTTAATGCGCTTTGTTTTGTTTCATTTTGTTTTTTTGACCAGTCAAGCTTAGAGTCACTCCTGCCACTGCACTTAGAATCATGCCTGGCAGTGCTCTGAGGACCATATAAGATGCTAGGGATATAACAGATAGGGCTGCCCACTATACTATCATTGTGACCCCTCTTAATGCTATTTTGCCTGATGACCTATTTTTAATATTCAGAATGAGGTAGAGTTATATTGGAATCACTCTAAAAGATCTACTGAGTTTGAAAACCGAGCATTTATAATTTTGCAAAGGTAAATCTATAGATGTGGGTTAAGATAAGAGTATAAACTTTTTTTGTTGTTGTGGGTTTAGGGGTATTTGAACTATACCTAGCAATAGAGTATTCACATCTTTAAAGGATGCATTATGGGTGGGATTGGAAGAGCTTGGAGACAGATGAAGAGGTAGAGCACATAGCTATCATAATTTTGATAGTTCAATCTCTGGTTCTGTGGTCCCCCAAACCCTCCTGGTCCTGAGCACCCCTGGGTTGACCCTGATTTCTTTTTAAAATATGTCTTTGGCAAATGAAAGCCAATGCTTTGATAGGGAGAAATAAGCAGATGGCAAATCTTTTGCTAACACATTGTAGACCAGGTCTAATTATCTCAGTACACAAATAACTTCTGTCAATCGGTAAATCAACCCTGACAACTTTACCGAGACATAATGATATGAACTGACTGTAGAAAGTGAATCCAAGTGAACAACAAAAGTGAATCAGGAAAACTAGTACAGTGGGTAAGTGCTTGCTTTGTACTCAGCTGACCTGGGTTTGATCTTCTGCCCCACATATAATTCCCCAAGCCCTGCCAGCAGTGATTCCTGAGTGCAAAGCCAGGAGTAAGTCCTGAGCACAGCTGTGTGTGGCTCAACAACCAAAAGCAAAACAGAACAAAAATCAAACAAAAAAGAACAACTAAATCCTATTTTAAGAGAATACATTCAACTTAGGGGAAATAAGTAGTGAATCTATAATGTAAACTCTCAGTATTTGTGCAAAATCTAGGGCCTCACACTTACGATCGCCAGGATGTCTTTGGAATCAAGGTTGCAAGTCAGATTTAAAACAATCAATTTGAAAGTTAGTTCCGTACTCATTGGCTTTTGCTATAGACAACTTTAATATCTCTGAGATTTAAAAAAAATCACAGAGTATTATGAATGTTAAAAAAAAGTTACTATTTGATGGGGCTGGAGTGATAGCACAGCCGGTAGGGAATTTGCCTTGCACGCGGCCGACCTGGGTTCAATTCCCAGCATCCCATATGGTCCCCTGAGGACTGTCAGGAGTGATTCCTGAGTGCAAAGCCAGGAATAACCCCTGAGCATCGCCAGGTGTGACCCCCCCCCCAAAAAAAGTTACTATTTGCGATAGTTCCTAGTCTAATACTTGACCTATGTAAATGCTTGAAAATATTTTTGGATGGAATTTTTAAAATATTATAAGATCTCTATGGCTATGTTGTTGAAGATTTCTTTATTTTGGGCTTTGGACCTCATGATCTGAGGACCTTGTGGTGCTGGAGATCAAACGTGGGGTTCCTGTGTGCAAAGCATGTACTCCACTTCTTTGAGACCTCTTGCCAGCCGGGTTCACTAAAGATCTAAATGACCCACACACGTCTTCTTTGACTTAGTATTTTATTTTTGGAGTATTTTTATTCTTACCATTTTCCTTTCGATGTTGACTCTTATCCTTTTACCTCCAAGCCAATAAGTTAAAAAGAAAAATTAATTGCATGGGAATTACCATTATGCTGCTGATGAGAAAGAACTTCTTAAAAGTAGGTTTAACATGCCAGAGGGCTTGTTAGATTAAGACCAGTGTAGAAGACACATAAAATGAGCCTCTAAGAAAAGATGAAACCATGCTCTTCAAAGCAGTGTGAATAGAAGTGGAGGGTATTGTGTTACATGCAATCAGTGGGGAGAATTAATACTAGAAGATCTCATTCATCTGAGGAATAGAGAGAGACAAGAGATGGGAATAGATAATATTGAATAATAACAACTCCTAGACTGGAGTGATAGTATAGAGAGTAGGACGCTTGCCTTTCACACAGCCAACCTGGTTTCAGTCTCTGGCATCCCACATGGCCTCTCAAGCACCGCCAGGAATAATTCCCAAGTGCAGAACCAGGAGTAACCTGTGAGCACCACCAGATGGGACCCTAAAGCAAAAAAATACAAAATGACAAACCCTTGGCCCATCAGTGACAAACCTGGGCGTTGGGTTACAAAATGTAGTCTCAGCAGGGAGAAGGAGTGGGTGGGCGGATGAGAAGCAGATTCGAGGTAATAGGTCAGTATCGGAGAATCCTGGGGACTTTGGTCGGAAGGGGGGGGGGAAGGAGCAAATCTTATCTAATCTTAACCCTAGGGACAGGCACTGTAGCACTGTACTCCCATTGTTCATCGATTTCCTTGAGCGGGCCCATTGTGAGACTTGTTACTGTGTTTGGCATATTGAATATGTCACGGGTAGCTTGCCAGGCTTTGCCTGCTAGGCAAGAGACTCAGGCTCTCCGAGAGGGGCAGAGGCATCGAACCTGGGTTGGCCAGGTTGGCTGCGTGCAAGGCAAATGCCCTACTCACTGTGCAATCGCTCCAGCCCCTAGGGACACGAATGAAGTGAAACTGCTCCCTCTGGAACTATGACCGTTGTCCTCTCTGCGTTTCAGAGGTGAATCTCTAGATAACCTGGATTCTCCCAGATCCCACTCTTGGAGACAGTCCACTTGGCACAATCAGTCAGGGCCTGTCCAAGCTGCTTCCTCGGTTCAAGATCTCAGCCGGCCGCTGCCTCATCTGGTATCCACGTCGAACCGCGCCTACATGCGGACACCCTCCTCCAGCGTGCCCCTTCCCTCTGCGGGCTTGGCAAGGACTTCCAGCACTCCGTCCCCCACCCCACGCAGCCAGTCCCCTTCGGTGACCCAGTCAGGCTCACAACTGCGCAACAGGTGAGACACTGGGGAGCTTTCTCCTTTTCCTCTGGGTCTTAATGGGTATTTGAGCCATTACCAGTGGACCCCCTAGTCTTGTCCAAGCCTTCCAGGGAAAGAGAAGGGAACTTCCAAACACGTCAAATTCAGTGTGGTGCTGTGTTTTTCCAGTCAGGGAAATGAAAAAACCTCTCTTTATGCCTTGTGCACCAAGAGCTTTGGTGGGTGTCTTGTGAAGCCATCTCAGAGTGCCGGACAACGGCCACATCATCGCAACTGTCCCATTTGCTTGTGCTTGTGGCCACTGTCTTAGGTGCAAATGCCCCTGAGGAGTTCTCACGGGGACTCCTCCGGCTACACAGCAGCACCTGAGTGCACTTCAGGTTTATGAGGAAAAGCACTGCAGCATTGTAACACTGTCCTCCCATTGTTCATCAATATGCTCAAGCAGGAACCAGTAACATCTCCATTGTGACACTCGTTACTGTTTTTGGCATGTTAAATATGCCACGGGGAGCTTGCCAGGCTCTGCCAGCGGGCGAGATACTCTCGGTAGCTTGCTGGGGGCTCTGAGAGGGATGGAGGAATTGAACCCAGGTTGGCCTGCTGTGCTATTGCTCCAGCCCATGAGGAAAAGCAAGATTGTAAAATGCATTTCTCTTTGAACAAGAGCACAGCACAAACTCATTGGATAAAAACTGCATGTATATTGTATGTGTCTGTGTGTGTGTGTATATCTATATCTATATCTATATCTATATCCATGTACATATACACACACATTTAAAAAGCATTCTATGCATACTCCACAGTTTATGACACTTTAAAAGTTCATGTATTTTGGAGCTTTTATTTGCCAAAACCATTGCCTCTTCTCAGGCTTACCAACATTTTGTTCGGGCCACAGCAAGTACATTCTGTAGATCCTAGGTGGCAGGGGCTGTATAAGAGCTATAATGATGAGCCAGGCTTGAGACGTGACTTTTGAGTGATGCCCTTGTCTGAGGAGGCATTGAGTTTTTAGGTCTGAGTCACTTCTCCACACATTACTTTTGTCTTCGGTACAGCAAGGCTTTGACTGTCACCTAACGGAGGGTGTACCAGCCTGGGCTGCATTTATTTCATCACAAATCCTGAAAAAAGTCAATATATAATGACTTCTGGCAGAATTTTTTCAGGGTATCAAGTAAAGGATAATATGAAGAAAACTTATTTTACACCAGTCTAAAATATTACTGTGAAGAATATTTCATGGATTGGAATGAAGAGATAGGGCGAGAGTTAATGGTCAAGTGTTGGGAGAGACAAAGCCTGTTGAGGGAGAGAAAGGCAGAGGAATTCATTTGCCCTAAAAGAAAAAAAAAGTGGCCATCTAGCCAGCAGTCACCACTCTAAGCTATACAATGTTGCAGAAGTGCCAAGGGATGCAAAAGCTAGTGCCCTTTTACCCTTTCACTGTGGAGCAGAGATAAGATGGGCAGGGAAAGGAAAACCTAAAACTTCCTTTCCCAAAGAAGAAAGGTTGCTTGTGGGCAGTTTTCCTTTCATTCTCCACAGAAGCAGTGCTTCAAGCCAGAAGCGCTGTCAGGAACGCTCCAACATGGACATGTCCAGCACCAGGTACTGAAAAAGAAGCTGGGGAAAGAGGAGCACTGTCAGCACTGTCCTCCCATTGTTCATTGATTTGCTCAAGCGGGCACCAGTAATATCTCCATTGTGAGACTTGTTGTTACTGGTTTTGGCATATAGAATATACCACAGGGAGCTTGCCAGGCTGTGCCGTGTGGGCGGGATACTCTCGGTAGCTTGCCGGGCTCTCCGAGAGGGACAGAGGAATCAAACCCAGGTCAGCCGAGTGCAAGGCAAATGCTGTACCACTGTGCTATCGCTCCAGAAACTTCCACAACTCCTTAAAAGAAGCTGAGGCTGCTCTCTTAGTCTCCTCGTGTTCTCATGGGAGGGATGGCGGGAGGAGAGAGTACTCGGGCAGGCTGACCTGCCCAGGCCAAGTCAGGAGAGATCAGAAGCAGGGAGTTGGCTGCTGAGAACAGGATGGCTGTGTGATCAGGTGCAGAGAGGATATGATAAAGTGCAGGCAGCGTTCACTCATGGGGATACTTATCAAGGGTTTGCAGAGCCATGATGGGGCTCTGAGCTGATTGAGGCATCACCGGGTCAGCTGCTGAAACTTACCCCCCAGACATCCAGAGAACGGCTTAATGATTCACCTTCGTGCCAGAGTGTGACTTGAACTAATAACCGAACTGCACCAATGAAAGCCTCCATTCCGTTCTTGTTCCACGTCTAGGTCAGTGAGTGGGAAGCGTGTGTGCTCCTCCTGTAGTAGCATTTTGGGCAAAGGAGCGGCCATGATCATCGAGTCCCTGGGGCTCTGTTATCATTTACATTGTTTTAAGGTGAGACGGAGCCGAGCAGCTTGCGGGGCTGGGGGGCTTCAGAGCTTTGCTTGGAATAGCGCATGGCTGCTTTGATCGCTGCGGGTGGACGTGCCACTAACAAGCAAGGTGCCGTGTTTGTCAGTCAGTCCTGCGTTTCCAACCGCCCATTGCTTGCTGCTACCTAGTTGTCAAATGTTGATTCAAAAATTAATTGTCTAGAAACACTGCAAAACATTCTTATAGCATGTCCATGCTTGCTGTAACATGTCCTAGGTCTATTTGAAATGTAATTTTTCACTGTTATTAACAGTGGAGGGACAGACAGGTGATTATAACATTGCCCCAATGTTTGAGTAGGAAGAGTACATAAGGAACTCTTGTTATTTTTATTTCCAAAAATCGGTGGGGTGGGGGGCTCACCTGGTTGTGCTCCAGGACTATTCCTGGCTCTGTGTCCAGGAATCACTCCTAGTGGGGCTCCAGAGACCGTATGTGGTGCCAGTTACCAAGCACAGGTCAACTCTGTGCATAGCAAGCACCTTGCCCCTGTTCTAGCCCTCTGACCCTCTAAGGAAATTTTTTTGCATACATATTTACATGTATTTTTATAGTTGCACCGCCTGCTTACCCCAGTGGGTTCCTGCACATAGTCAAGAACTAAGACTGTAACATTTTTCAGTATCTTTTAAGACACCTATGATTTTATTTTATTATTGAATCACCATGAGATGGAGCAATAAAGCTGTACATGATTGGGTTTCACTTGTATAGTGTTTGAACACCCATCCCTCCACCAATGTAATTTCCCAGCACCAATGTCCCCAGTTTCCCTCCCAAACCTCTAAATCCTACTTACCCCAACCTTCCTCTATGGCAGGAAAATTCCTCTCCTCCCCTCCCCTCCCTCCCCTCTCCTCTTCTCCCTCCCCTCCCCTCCTCTCCTTTTCTCTCTCATTTTGATTTGCATTATGATTTGCAATACAGATACTGAAAGGTCATCATGTATAGCCCTTTACCTACTTTCAACACTCAGGTCTTTTCCAGAGTGATCATTTCCAACTATTGTTGTCATACTGGGCCCTCCTATATCTTAACTACCCTCCACCCCACACAGATTACACCTATGATTCTTGAATGTACATCGTGCCAGAGAGAGACAGACAGAGAGAGAGAGAGACAGAGAGAGACTGATTGTTGGTCCTAGAGTTCAGTAGGCCACATTTTATTTTTGGCTTACCTGGGATTGTTCCTTAGCAGAGCAAAAAAAAGTCAAAAAAGCTTAGTGTTTGAGTACATGGAACCAAAATAGATGGAAAAGCACCGTGTGCCAGGCTGGTGCAAGGAGTTCTGGGCGTGTGTGCTCCAGTTGGCCTGCTAGGAAACCGGCCTTCGCTTCTCTTGCCCGCTCTTTCCCATGGTGTCTTAGCCTCCTGGGACCCCCTGGAGGAAATAAAGTCTAAATTCCTTTCAGCCAATCAACAAATCATTTCTGCTCTCTTGCTATATTTAGAATAACCATGTTGGCTCTCAAAATTAGCTTTATGGACTCTTTACTATCTCATCTGGTGGGCTTGATTTTAACTACTAATTATGTTCTGACTTTTTTTTTCTGGAACATCTGAGAGCTGAGAAGTTGCATACCGTGCTTACTGCTTTTTTTTTTTTTTTTTGCTGGAAATGCCAACCTGTGTTCTTGAGATAAACACTTAGAAGTCTTCTTTTCTTCCCCTCCAGTGCGTGTCCTGTCATTGCGACCTCGGAGGCTCTACCTCAGGAGCCGAAGTCCGAATCCGAAACAATGAGCTGTACTGCAACGACTGCTATCTCAGATTCAAAAGTAAGAGAGCAAATCAGGGAGAAAATTGCTAGCCTTTTGAGTCGACCCCGAGTTCCTCTGCCTTTCCCCGATCCGACGGCCGTCCCTCCCTCCACGGACCTGCCTTAGAATGGCCCCAGGTCTGAGCCCTAGCAGTCTGTACGGACCCTTCAAAGAGGGTGCAGTGACCACTCCACTGTGGCCACTGGGTCTTGCCAGACAAGGGAGAGCTATGGGCTGAGTAATTGGAGAGGACCCTAGGGCCGAGATTCAGGACCGTGTTCTCGTGCCATCTGCTTTAAGTCAGGAGCCACTTCGAAGACTTGGAAGGGACAGATAAAGATATAAGAGATGTTCTTTGTAGCTGTCATCCGTTGATTGGCTGAGTGGTCCTTCATAGTTCCCTCATTTCTAAGATATAATCAGTGGGCTTTGAATATGTCATATTGATTATCATCAGCTCTAACAAGTATGGTTAGAAAGGTAATGGAGATGGAGGAGTCATTTTATGCTTTGTTACTATCTGGCCCTATACAATACCTATACAATAGAGATAATAGACATAAAAGGAGGACATAAATCTATAATATGGGGGGTTCAGTGTCACTTTGGAAAAACTCAAGTTTTCCTTTGAAGCCTTCCCATGCTATTTTAGGTCTAGGTGTGTGTTTGCTTGTTAAGTGTTGGTATAAAACTGGTTTGTGTGACTAGAATTCTTTAGTGTTTAGAGCCTCTTAACACAACCATTACCACTGTTTTTTTTTTTTTGAACTTTGATGCTGGTAACATGTGTTTCTTCCTCATTGCGAAAGCGTGTTACATACAAGTGATATCAGAAAATCCATTTGCTTTTGAACTCTGAGGTATTTATATGGCCCTTTCTGTGAAGAGTGCTTTGGACGTGGCTACCGTCCACTCATCTTTCTCTTATCTGTGTGGGCTCCATGCTCCCCTCTCAGCAGTCCCTCTCCTTCCTGAGGGACTGTGACGAGGTTGGGGAGCAGCAAGGTTGGGCTTGTGGGGGGGTGCTGGTGGCGGGAAGTGCGTGGATGTGTGTGTGCTTCTTGATCTCTCCCATCACATTCCAAAGCCAAAGAGAATTGATTTTTGCAATCAGTGGGACCCACGTTGCCCAGGATTGTCTTCTCCCATACAAGTAACAGAGCGTTGAGTATAACCCTCTGTATCAACAGTTCATTTTGATTCTGTGTTTACAAATAAGGAATCCAAGTGCCCAGAGGCTATGCTTGGACTCACATTGTCCTGAGAGAGTGACAAGGTTATTCTTTCTGCCTCTGGCTGGCTGTGTTGGGAGCGATGACTGCTCTTGAGTCTACAGCGCCCTCTGCAAGGGTTTTGGAATCTAAGTCCTTTTCTTTCTTCTCTCCTTGCCTGATCAGCTGGCCGGCCAACCGCCATGTGATGTAAGCGCCCCTACGAAGGCACTGTTGCAGATAGAAGAAGAGGTGGTTGCTGCTGATAGAGATCTATAAATATATGTTGTATGTCTTTTTGGCTTTTTTTTTAAGAATTAACCTCTTTCATGGGGAGGGGGGGAATCTTTAGATTACACCAGAGCATTAGAGTGTTGGTAAAATCTGTGTTTTTGTTGTTTATTTATAAGAAAGTAATTATGGGGGGGAGGGGAAGGTGCAGTATTTACTTTTCAGCTTCATCATAAAAGCACAAGAGAAAAAGGAGTTTCAAACACTTGTGGCTAATGAGTCTGACTTTTATAGTGGTGTTTTGATGAGGGATATTTTATTATTGTTTTGGAAAGAAAAAGGTTCTGAAGCATTATTTGAAATAGTTAATATAAATATGTAATTGCATTTGCTCTGTTTATTATAATGTATACTAAATTAATGCAGAACCATATGGAAAATTTCACCAAAATCTACCCCTAAGTTCATTTTCTGTATTCTATGTAATATTATGACTTTCTAACACAGAACCTTACCTTCTATACTATTTTATTTGCTTGATGAGAAGATCCCTGTATTATCCACCAGCATTGTTGCTGAGCAATTCCCAGTACAAAAGTGCTACTTTCTCTTAATGCAAAAATCAACATGGTCTGTGTACTAGAGCTTTTCTCTAGGAAACTTTCTCTTCAGCTGAATATGTAAATAAACTTGGTGATGCATTAAATAAATGCTGCTTCTTTGTGTGTATATTTCTTTTCTCATCCTTAATCATACTCAATCGGTGACTTTCTGTATGTTTATTAACTACATTGACACATACTGTGACGTTTAAACTGCACTTATTTAAATTGTACTATTTGACAAGAACGTAGACCTCTAAGACTATCATTACAATCTTGATATTATTTCGACTACATTTTTGTTGCTTATTTTTGGTTTGGTGCCATACCCAGTACTGTTCAGGTATTACTCTTAGCTCTGCAATCAGGGATCATCCCTGGCAGGGGCCAGGGGGAACCATAAGGATGCCTGGATTGAAATGGGGTCTGCCCTGTGCAAGGCAAGCACCCTACCTGCTATACTATCACTCTGACCCATACTAAAATATTTTTAGTTAGAGGAACTTTATTTTTATTTTTTTAATGGAAACACATTTTGAATGCTATACATAGTTATGTTTAGGGTTGACATAAATGGTGGCTGGGTAACGCACATAAACTCTTTACTTATTCTTTTGTTTTCTCAATGAAAAGAACACATAAGTTCATGGACATTTGGAGTGTGGGAGTATGAAAATGAATATAAGACATTAACATGAATTATTCACAGTAGCCAAAAACATAGGATCAGCCTAAATGCCCATCAAACATGACTGGAGAAGGAAACTGTGGTACAAATATTTGTTGAAATACTGCTCTGCCATTAAAAAGATGAAATACTGGGGTGAAAAGGGTAGTACAGTGGATAAGTCTATCACCTTCCTTGCAGTTGACCTGACTTCAATCACCAGCATCTCATATCATTCCCTGAGCATCACCAGGTGTGGCCTTAATACCAACCCCCAACCCCCAAAATAGATGAAAATTTTTTTGAAAACAAAATGTATGGAATGTAAAGTGACTATGGCTCAGTGAAAGACTATTGTTTTATTCATATTTGAATATGAATTGCTAAAGCCAATGAACTAGCTAATAAACAGCCAACTGATGGAATCAGTGAAAACATTGCTGGAACCAGAAGAAACAGAGGTATGTAAGAAAAATGAACAGAAAGTCTGTATGGTGGTGGGCACCACTAAAACTTTGGTGGGTGGGCATGGTGATAATTACACACATAGATGTAGAAAACCATACACTGAAATTCCATATTACTGTACAATGATGATGAGTTAATGAGAAAATATTGTAATGTTCTTTGAGTGAAAATATAAACTTGCTTGGATCCTTTATAATAAAATGTGGACCAGATAATTCTAGGGTATGAGAACTATTTAAAATAGTTCAAAATAGCTTTACTGTGGGATACAATAAGGACTTTAATTCTAGTTTTTATTTCTGGTTAATACTTATTTTTATTAAAATAATGTATTTTTTAAATGATCAAATTTAGGAGCGATAGCACAGCGGGTAGGGCGTTCCCCTTACAAGCGGCCAACATGGCCGACCCGAGTTCGATTCCTCCGCCCCTCTCGGAGAGCCCGGCAAGCTACCGAGAGTATTCGATATGCCAGACACAGTAACAACAAAGTCTCCAATGGAGACGTTACTGGGCCCGCTTGAGCAAATGAAAGTATAAGAAATACGTAATTCCAAACCCCAAGATAGGAGCTCTGCATTTGATCTTATTCTGTGTAAAGTTGTTTAGCCTGTATTCTTCATTAACATAGTCCGTGAAATTTTCCACCTTCTAAAAACAATTCTGGAAGCGGGAACAGTAGTACAGTGGGCAAGGAACTTGCTTTGCAAGCGGCCAGCCTGGAATTGATCCCTGCCATCCCAGATGGTCCCCTGACCACTGACAAGAGTAATTCCCGAGTGCAGAGCCAGAAGTACACCCTAAGCATTGTTGGAACCTCCAAATAAAGAAAAAATGTTTTTCTTTTTCACTCCCCTCCAATCTTTCTAAATTTGAATAAAAATTTTTTTTTAATGTAGGAGTATTGCTATTTATTCAGCCATTGATTAGGCTGATTGAATTGGGCATGAACTCCACCTTACTTTTTTTTTTCCTTTTTTGTAATTTTATTTATTGAATCACCGTGAGATCAGTTACAAAGCTTTCGGGTTTAAGTCTCGGTCATACAATGAAACACCCGTCCCTTCACCAGTGCCCATTTTCCACCATCAAGAATGCCAGTATACCCCCCATCCCACACCCTCCCTTTATTTGTGGGCAGATGATTTCCACATTACTCTCTCTCTACTTTGATTACATTCAATTTTTCAACACCAGACCCGCCATTATTATTTGGGATTTTACTCCAACACTCAGATCTGCCAAAAGGCAATTGTTTGTAGACAATTTGTTTTCTATTGCTGCTTATGAATAGAATATGAGGTTGCATGGCCACAGTACTGGCCATGCGATTTTGGAATTCTGAAATTTTAACAATGAAATCCGGAAGGATTTCTGCCAAAGCCTGCTTGGTTCTGAGATTTGTTCCTGAGTCTCTTGGATCATAGCCATTAAGCAGCTTGATCAGGAGTGGGTCACCATACTTGGGTGGCAACTTGGGGGTCTCGTTGGGGTGGGGAGAAAACGGCTGGATTCACCCCTATCCTGTGAGCCCCCATGTGTCTCATCACTGCAAGCCTAAATCTGATTGTCCAATGGCCTCTGGAGGATGGTGGCCACCGAGCTGCCAAGGGGAAGCAGGCGGAGGGACAACACCCTTTTCCCCTGGCGTGGTCCAGCACCAGTAACCCATTGCGGGGACCAGACACATCTCTGCCAAAATCCGCTGGGTTCTAAGATTTGTCTCTGAGTCCCTGGGATCATGGTCATTAAGCAGTTCGATCAGGAACCAGAGAGGCCTTGCCTCCAATTATATAGCTGAGCCGGAGGTGGTTTGTGGGTGTGTCTCGCACATACCTAACTTTTGGCTGTTTACGTTCTTGAATAAAAATTATTTTTAAAAAGTAAAAATAATTTTATTTATCTTAATGGTTGCCTTTTTTTGACACCATTAGTTTAGTTGATAATTCAACTGTGTACATTTCAGAGTTGTTTTTCTTTTTTTGCTTTTTTGGGTCACACCCAGCGAAGCATAGGGTTACTCCTGGCTCACGCACTCAGGAATTACTCCTGGCAGTGCTTGGGGGACCATATGGGATGCTGGGGGTTGAACCTGGGTCAGTCATATGCAAGGCAAATGCCCTACCCACTGTGCCACTGCTCCAGCCTCTCAGTTGTTTCTAATATTTAGTATTTTATTATGTAAGTTTAAGTGTATTTATAATCTATAATGATGAATGCTATGTTCATTTCTATTTATATTATCATAGAAATAGGATTATTGGCTCAGGGGTTATGCATTGTTATGTTATCATGATGACTTGTCAGAATGATTTCCAGAGAGATTTCCAGTTTAAACTCTCACAGGCAATTCTGGTGCTCATTGCATCTTTGGTCACAAGCATTGCCATTGCTTTGACCTATGCCTGACATGTAGGAAGTACCTTCAGTGTGCAGAAACTGAATAAATGCATAAATGGCTCCTTTAGTTTCTGATTTCTTCATTCTGTTTGTTCTTGGATTGGTTGTAACATTTAGTTCTTAGATCATTTCAGATTTTTAAAAATCTAATACCTTTTCTGGCCATTATTATTTTTCATTTAAATCTTTTGTCTTTTCACTGCATCCTGTTGATTTTTCTCCTGAGTGGATTTTTTTTCTGACTTTCTCCTCTTTTTTATATAACAATCTTATTTACTAATAAAATTCTGATTTATGCAGGTTGTTAAAACATGTTTTTGAGGTTTTTATCCTAAGTCACTTATTATACAGTGCTTGGAGTATGGTCAAAGATATTCAACACTTTAAGAAAATTGTTTTTTAATTAAATCACGGTGAGATTCAACACTTTTAGTTCAAACATCTATGTGAGAAGCACAGTTTCAGACACTACAGTATAGCAACAGATAAGCATAAAGTCTTGACTGACATATTTCTAGTGGGAATGATGAATAAAGGAATTCAAGAAAACATAACACGTATGTAATGATCACAACATTGACCAAATGATCAGGGCAAAGAAGATCCATATGCCAGACAGGGAAAAGGAGGTTTGCCCATAGACATTGGAGGAGAAAACATTATATTTGGGGAATGGCAAATAAAAAAATCTTTAGTAATAGGAGTGTACTGGTATGTTCAAGTAACAGTCGCGTGGTTGGGATGGGCTAAGAGAGCTTAACAGTGTGTCAAGGACAGAGGCCAGCAGGGTATTATTGTAAGACTTTGGTTTTTGCTCTGAATGGGATAGAGAAACTGGGAGGGACTTGCACAGAGAAATAAACTGACCTATGTTTTAAAATAATGCCATGTGAACAATATCTTACCAAAGGGCAAAGGTAAAAGGAGAAAAGTGAGTTTAGTCTGTGAAATTATGTAGGCAAAAGATAGTGCTGGACTTCATCGGATAAGAATGGGTGGGGTATAATGAGTAAGATATGGATATATGTGTATATATTTATAAATGGTTTATGTTAATTACATAATTACATATATTTAATATATACTGTTGAAGATGAAACTGCCAGATTTCAGTGATGAATTGGCCGGATGTAGCATGAGAGGAAGAGAAGAGTTATGTTGGGGTGTTGATTTGAGGAGCAGAATTGTGTAGTTTCTAGAGGCATCACAGAATATGATGGGAAAAAAAGTACTGGTCACCCCCAGGGGCGGAGCCAGCAGTTAGGAACAAGTTGCCTTCGTCTCTGCTGATATACAGAGTTTAAATCTCTTAGCCAAGACACAGGCCTAGGTCACTGGGCTTCATTTCAAGTTACAAATATGTTTTGGTCCTTAATTATGATTCAAGTTTAGTTTCACAGTATCTGATTGAAATTCTCCCCTTGACCCAATGATTGAATTCCCAGTGTTAATAAACATTGAATATTAGTGTTCAGGATATTCATTATCTTCAATATCTTCTCATCTGCTCTGTGGGAAGCAAATAGAGGTTGAGTCAAAAATGACTGTCTACCTGCCATATGTAAGA